CGCCACTTTGTCTCCAAGCGTCCCCAAATCTATGTAAATAAATCAAAACCTACAGGCCCACATCACAGAAGCATGTGCACACGAGCGTTTGATAATGTTTTTGCCTATGTTCTATCATTCAGGCGCTTTGTCCTTGAAGGGAAATGTCTTCAAAGTGATGGAGTAGATCAGTAAATATTGAGACTAGAGCTACTGGTCGTAGTCCAAGCCATAAACAAACTGAAGATATTTGTCGCTGTTCTCTTTGAAAAATTATACAAGTAAAGTGGGGTAAATGCGATGTGTGAATTAGAGCTACACTATATTAGAAAAATAATGCAGCTTTAATGGCAGTTGTAAATAAGGCAGTACTGAAGGAATAAAGCAGGACTAAATATAGGACCTATCCAGGAGTATAACAGCTCTTCAGCAGTTCAGGTTTTTTAAGGCTGCAAGATTAATCACAATTTAAGGAAAATTGCTTTTTGATTGTTTGAAATTATGACAAAGGCCTCAATTTGGTAGATGTTCTCTACAGACCAAGATATCTTGTCTTAGCTTAGATGGTCCAAAAAATCTATACCTAGATACTAATTGGAAATGAACTACTATTGAAAATAGAGACTTGTTTGAACTAGTGTCATTACTGAAAGAAAATGCATAAATATGGCTAAGTTTGATCTCTTTTGAAAAGTTTTAGAATGGTAATGATGTGTCATAAAAGGCCGCAGTATAATATTTAAGAAACCACTATCATTTTGTCTTGATTTTATTGATAAAATAGCATTTTTTTGTTATTGTAGTTAGGGATGGGCATTCGATCGGATTTTCTTAATCGGGAGAATTAACGATTGAGTTTCAATTAATCATTAACATTTTTATATTAAAATTATCATCATTATTATTACTATTACTAATCTGCATAAATAAACTCAACATTACAACATATAAACTATAACCTCTATATAGCCACATCAGCCCGTTTGACATTATAATGTGTTTAATGCAGCTTTGCGCACATTTGTACCTTTTACAGAAACAAAACTTAAAACTGCATCTCTAATTTGCATAAACTGTAAGCAAAAAAACAGCTCTTTCCTTGTGCCCTGATGCAGTTCTAAAGGACACTAAAGGACACGACTCAGTGGAATATAGGTGTTATTTCTGTGACAGAGGGATGTTGATGATGATGATGGTGAGTCTGTTCTGTGTGTATATCGCATTGGAGATGGTTCATGTTTTCAGAGATCATATGTGTGCAGGTTTAGCACAGCTCTTTATGTTGCAGTAATCGGGATACTGTGTATACATGCACCATGATGAAACCAGGACACTGATGTGCATGTAAATGCCCTCAGTGGGTGGTACAGTGATCTCCAAGGAGGTATGCCAGAGCCCAAATGTTAGACTGAGAGGCTGCAACTCCAGTGTTTGCGATGTCAGGCGCAGCCTCATCTCCTTACGCTATGCTACACACAGCAACCTACATTCGGTTTGTCGATTAAAAATTTATGTAACCAACAAAATTGTTAATGATCAATTATCGATTAGTTGACTAATCATGCCCATCCCTAATTGTAGTATTGAAAAGTATTGAACATTTTCTTTAGTATCAAAATGGACTTTGACATATGCTAAAGCTATGACAACACTCTAAATGGGGTCTCACTCTGGCACTCTGTAAAACTTTAAACTTTAACAAATATCAGAAGACCAGTAATTTAAAATCCAAAAATAGAAACTTACAGGACATGACATTGACAATGGAAGGACAGAGGAGAACTCAGACCAAAAATTTAGAATATCATGAAAAAGTTAAATAGTTTTTGTCACTTGTTTTAGAGTTCAAGTTAAACTCATATATAGGGCTCTACTTCCTGTAATTTTCAACATATTTTTCAACGTTTCTTCACAAATTGCTTCTTGATTGGTGTAAAACTATAATTTATATTTACAACATATATTATCCCACCACACAATGTCAAAAGTAAACAACCATTTAAACCTGTCACATGCACTTTAATAACTTATACACATTCTAGTTAGTGTAGTTTTTTAAATGACAAACAAACTTCGTCCAGAGACCATTTCCTCCCCACTCCTCAGATAAACACATTGATATCCCGTAAGCCACAATCAAAGTAATCCATACAGAATCTTAATGCATATAAGATGACAATGTCCCCTCTTGATGTCCCTTAGCTCACACTATGCAGCTTTATCTATATCCGCTGTCCGTCTATATCCACTGAGTCCCTCCACAACTGACAGGGAAAAGATGTTTAACGACCCGCGGAGATGACCCTGGCCAGCGCTGGGGGTCAGAGCTGTCCATACAGCACGCTAAAAAATGTATGGGGGTGTGATTAACTACAGCCCCTCTCTGCACACTGCCCAACCCCCCTCCCCTGCTGCTGTAAACGTCAACACAAGATAAAATAATCACTTTGCCCCCATTGCATCCACCACTGTTATGTATTCTATATCAGCATGTAAATTATGTCAGTGATTTTGTCTGACAAGCACGAGAGGAGTTTTATTTAATGATATTTGTTATTACATTAGCTGCATGGTGTCTCGGTGAGAAGGTGGGTGTCTGCGCATCTTATGGGCCCCCTGCTCTTCCTTATGTGGCTAACTAATGTCTAACCAGGTAACCAGACCAAAAAAAAATAAATCAATACCTAGATACTGATCGATAAACTAATAAAAAAAAAAATTCCTCTGAAGTACTGATACAATAATTATAGGATGTAATTTACCTTATTTTGAATGGCCTTCATGTATAACAACTAATATCATATGATAACATTTAAGAAACTACTAATATTTTCTGTAGATTTTTTTTAAACTTCAGTTTTGTGGTGTTGAAATCTGTATTGAGCATCGAACTTTTCCCATAACATCAAAATCGAGTTTGAAATTGTCATATCATATAAATAAATATGTGATATGACATAAATATGACTTAAAAATTAGGGCTGCAAAATCTAATCGCAGCGTGAATGGACACAATTAGCAAATCGTAAGTGCTGTAATTTTCTCCACTAACAAGACATCATATTCTGTATACAAACTGCTAGGCCTACAGTTAAGATCTGTACAAACATGTTCTGAAATAGGATTCTTGTATTAGTGTGTCAGTTCATATTTCAGTGTTTTTGTCAATTCTCCTGGATGTAAAAAGCTTGTCAAAATAAACGCAATAAGATACTGTTTTTTTCCCAAATGGTTCCGCCCTTCTTAACATGACTAAACCAGTTTTGAAATGAAGTCCACATGAGAAAGAATGACTAAACCAGACTCATGTAAAAGTTTTATGCAAAACAGCGTAGAAGAGAGTTACACCAACCAGGAATGAACCTGCTCCAAACTTGAAACAGAGACTAAAAAGTGGTATGAATTAATGAATGAGTCAATTAATCATTGCATTTATATAGCTCCTTCAAGGCACCCAAAGCACTTCACAGAGCATTATTCATTCACTCCACACTTGGTGGTGAGCTGCTATTGTAACCACAGCTGCCCTGGGACAGACTGACAGAAGTGAGGCTGACAGTCTGCTCCATCGGCTCCTCTGTCCATCACTATCACTCACACACGCCTCTTTCTTACCAGGCAATTTGGGTGAAGTGTATTGCCTAAGGACACAACAACAGTCTCCCATCCAAGTGCTATCCAGGCCTGGCCTCGATTAGCTTCCGATATTTGATGAGGTCAGGCTTTGACAAGACGGTATAGCCACTTTAGTCTATTTATAGTTTGTAGTCTTTACTCCTGATTATTTATAGTCAGGACTAAACTTAATTTAACTACTATTACTACTACTTCTACTACTGCGACTACTATTCTACTCATCATTGACCAAGACATAATCCAGATTAAACTAAATATGTATTTGTACTAAACCAGAATTTACCCACTTTGATTCTGAGTAAACATATAACAAAATAATTATTGTGTAAAATCAAATTCCAACATTCTGGAGATCATTATGTAATCATCCGCTGTGAGACTCCACCTGCTTTATCAGCGTAAAATTTGCTGACAGCGTGAAGTGTTAATTAATTTTTCTTCCTTGACATTTCTTCTTCTCATCATCAAACGCATCACTCTAAATGGTTTTGAATCCTGCGTGGCCTATTTAACAAATGTAATTTCCATGAACGCATAAGAAGAGTAAAATGTGGAAATTGAGTGCAGAGACCAAAACTGCAAATGGCTGTGTGATGTGAAGTATCGATTGACACATATAATTAAAAATATAAATAAACCAGTTATTTTGAACTGAAGTTACCTCATTCTGTACTTCTCATTTGGGAATGTACAGTCTTCAGGACAGGTAGGCGTAAATAAAATACTACATGCGTTATAGCCATTGGTGTGAAGCCTTTCCAGGTTTTTCCACTTATTCTCACATTTTTTCAAAGCCATCTTGACACCAGGATTACACGGGCTGCCTTCCTTTGTGTGAAATGCCAAAGTATTGAGGTCACACTCTTTGCTATTGGATTCTACAACAGGTCAAAACTATACAGAAATACTATTTTTAAAATCTAAAGTGAAAGATGCTTCTGTATCTGGCTGTGTCACAGTGTCACATTTTAAAGTTGCAATTGAGAAGAAACATTTGGATTTTAAGATTATTTACCGTTATTGACATGATAAAATAACTGTGAAATCTTTAACTAGATTAAACCAAACTTAAAGCACTTTACATTTATATATTTAATTGAAATCACAGATTTTTTTTTATTTTTATTTGGCCTGAATATTAATCAAGGTTTTCCATAAAGTAATTAAACTTGACATCTCTTCTATATAGACCTTCTAGTATGTTTAAAATAGAAAGCGGCTGACCCTTTTGACAGCCAATGGTGTGAAAATGTGCAAGTCTAATTATTTCTCTCCCTATTAAAATCAAAAGGTCAGATCTCCTAGTGATTTTTTTACATGTTGCATTTCAAAGCAGTAGTATTGAATGATCTAACATTTGGTGTTTCTCTTTTGCTTTTGTGCAGATAATGTGTACAGGAAGTGTTTGGCGAACGGGACTTGGGCACCCAAGGGGAACTACTCTATGTGTATGCCCATCCTTCATGAGGAGGTAAGGTTCTACTGTGTGCCTCTGCATTCTGCCTGCTTAATGAATGATTCTTAATGCTCTGCTCATTACAGTCAGTGAGCTGTATCAGCACTTGGTAAAGCTAGGTCAAAGCCAGGTCTGTACAAGCACTCAACAACAACTAAACAACTAGTTATCTCGGTGCAAATGGAAATATTTTATTGTAAGCTCAACAAAGCCATACATCTTTGCTAAATGTGCCTTGATAAACATGAATCCATGTTGTGAGTGGACTCGCCTATCCACAGAACTGAGCTGCAACTTGGTTGTGTCACCCACTTATTTCTATGGAAATGCATAAGATACAATACATCAATAAATGTATTGATCATTGGACAGTGAAGAAAATGACTTGACTTAAAAAAAGATTCACCAAATTATTCAGTGAATAAAAGAAGCAAGTCTGATAGCTGCGGATCACACTAGAGGCTAGCAGCAGCAGCAATCTTTTCATTTGTATCAAAATGACTTTGTGATGCCTCTAAATCCTACATGTATCACAGATTAAGAAAATAAAATTGGAGAACCAAGTAATCACAGAGCAGTGGGCATATGCCAGTGGTGGTGAAAACATGAACATGGCAACATGGCAGATGATGATGATATGTATAGACAGTGTAGGTTGATCTATGCTCAGGCAAATACTCTTATGTGTAAGTTTGGTTCTTGTACAAAGGATGTAAAGTTGTTATTGTTTAAATCATTACACCATTGTACACAGCCCACCTCTGGATTAATTACAAAAAAGCCAGTTTGCAAAGACTGCAGATGCCTACAATGATGCTTTGCAGTGTTTTTGAGGAGGCCACAATGGACGAGTGCAACTGAGATGTTTGTTACTGCACGAGTGAACACTTTGCAAGTTGCACTAAGATTTTTAATTTTAGCTGCAGACTGAACAAATCGGACAATGCAATAATAATGTCTCTCACAAATATGAGATTCAGTGCAATAAGATATCAGTCCAACATGGGGAGACACTGGTATGGTTCTCTTTTAAAAACATAAGTCTTTGTTGTTTTGTAATGTCACTGTTTATGTCTATTTTAAAATGGACCATGAGTCTGGAATAATGATGACGATGAGGATGATGATGAATATGGCGTCTTAAAAATGCAATTAATGATTGCTCAAACATGCATAAATCACTCCAGTAAATGAGTAAATAGTGAGCGGAAACAACTATAACATGGTTTTCAGGGTGTAACGATATCCAAGTCTCACGATACGATATTGTCACGGTATGAACCTCACAGTATGATATTTATTGTGTGGAAAGGCTCATGATATGGTGGGGAGGCTCACGATTAGGGATGTAACAATATCCAAATCTCTCAGTACAATATTTTCACGATATACATCTCAGGGTACAATATTTATTGGGATATTCTGTGGAGGCCAAACAGCTAAAACTGTGAATATGCTACTTTTTCCTCTTAAAATGACAAGACTTAATCCAAAGAAAAAAGACTTAAAAGTGCTTAGAACTGTTATTTCTTCTTGTAGTCTACACTGAAATGGAGCAAAGGATCATGGTCTATGTAGTTCCCTCTGTCTTATTTTAGCTATTGCTGCACCATAACTTTTAATTTAAGCAAAGAGACTTGTAATTTGATATATTGTGATGGTCCACGATATTATTGTGAGAACTTTGACGACACGATATCACAATATTTCAGTTATTGTTACATCTCTACATGGTTTAAAGCTCTTAAAAGTTAATTTTGCCTAATAAGTGTGTTTTGACATTTACTGTAATATACAAAGGTAAACTAAGACTAAACCAAACACGCACTTGCACGACAGTATCAGTGTGAAGATAAATTTCAGGCCTTAATTAGGAACAAAACCAGGATTTAACTTGGACTAATCCGGGCCTATGTTGGGGTCTCTGTCAGTGGTGTGTGTCAGTGCATTGTCCTGATTAATGAGCCCCCTGTCCTTCTCATTCATTACAGTTAGTGGGGCAGCTCCACACGCTCGACATTGAGCTCTGAACAGTGAACGCAGCAGTTTTATGTGCAATATATTTATAGTAAACACAAGTTAGATCCATGAGATGTATAAGCCTGCCCTGAAAGGACACACTGTACATTCACAATAGAACATGTATGCAACTGTATACTGTCATACCTTGAGGTGTTAGCAACTCCACAGCACAATAGTGTTTGGGATTAGTATTTCACAGCTAACGTGGCTTTAATATCATAACTGTCCCATTTGTAAAGACCTCTCTGATGATACACAAGAGCTCTAAATCTGTTAATGAACCTGAAGCGATTTGGTGTTTGAACAGCTGAACGTTCTGTAAATTCCTCAAAAGGGATTTTCTTCACAGGTCTGTCCTCTGGTCATGTGAGCGCGCATGAGAAAATATAACACAGAGGAAAATACAACAAGGGTAAGGGAGGGAGAGAGTGAAAGAATGGGGGAGTAAGAGAGGAGGGGGAGAGAGGGGATGTGAAAGAGGGAGAATAACAAGGAGGGAGGAGGAGAGAGGGGGCAGGAGGTATAGAGGAGACAGTGAAAGAATGGGAGAGTAAGAGAGGAACGAGAGGAGGGGTGAGAAACGGGCAGAGAAAGTGCATAAAAGATGGAGCGGGAGAGAGAAGGAGGGAGTAAAGTGAAAGAGGGAGAACAACAAGGAGGGAGAGAGAGTGAGAGATGGAGGAGGAAGAGGAGGAGGGGGGGCAGGAGGTATAGAGGAGAGAGTGAAAAAAATGGGAGAGAGGAATGGAGAGAGGGAGGAGGAGAGAGGGTGGTTTGGAGGAGTAAGAGAGAAACGAGAGCAGGGGTGAGAGACGGGCAGAGAAAGTGCGTAAAAGATGGAGAGGGAGAGATAAGGAGGGACTAAGAGAGGAGGGGGAGTGAAAGAGGGAGAATAACAGAAGGAGGTAGAGAGAGGGAGAGATAGAGGAGGAAGAGGAGAAGGGGGTCAGGAGGTATAGAGGAGAGAGGGAAAGAATGGGGGAGTAAGAGAGGAGAGTAAGAGAGGGGACGTGAAAGAAGGAGAACAACAAGGAGGGAGAGAGAGTGAGAGATGGAGGAGGAGAGAGAGGGGGCAGGAGGTATAGAGGAGAGAGTGAAAAAAATGGGAGAGAGGAATGGAGAGAGGGAGGAGGAGAGAGGGTGGTATGGAGGAGTAAGAGAGAAACGAGTGGAGGGGTGAGAGACGGGCAGAGAAAGTCCATAAAAGATGGAGAGGGAGAGATAAGGAGGGAGTAAGAGAGGAGGGGGAGAGAGGGGGAGTGAAAGAGGGAGAATAACAGAAGGAGGGAGAGAGAGTGAGAGATGGACGAAGAAAAGGAGGAGGAGGGGGGACAGGAGGTATAGAGGAGAGAGTAGGGGAGAGTGAGAGAATGGAGGAGTCAGAGAGGAACGAGAAGAGTGGTGAGAGATGGGCAGAGAAAGTGCAAAAAAGACAGAGCGGGAGAGAGAGAGAAGGAAGGAGTAAGAGAGGATTGGGAGAGAGGGGGAATGAAAGAGGGAGAAAAACAGAAGGAGTGGGAGATGGAGGAAGGAAGAGGAGGGGGGGCGGAGGTATAGAGGAGAGAGTAAGAGAGGAGAGAGAGGAATGGAGAGAGGGAAGAGAGATGCGGGTATACGGGAGAGTGAGAGAATGGAGGAGTAAGAGAGGAGAGGGAGAGAGGGGAAGTGAAAGAGGAATGATAGAGAGAGGGAGGAGGAGAGAGCAGTTATATGGAGTAAGAGAAGGAGGGGGACAGCCAGAGTGAAAAGAGATAAGATAGTGAGCGATAAAGAGCGAGGGAGAGAGCGAGTGAAGGAAGAAGGGAGAGAGAGAAGCGCCGGGAGAGAGGGGGAGAGGGAGAAGCGTAGACTGGTCACATGCGGTTGCTTTTTTGGTACAAGCTTTTAACTACCACCTGGCCGGGGCATTTTGATGTGCTCATGTACTCACTTTAATTGCAACGTTTAGCCAGAACATTGTGACCCAGCGCTGATCTGACTAAGGCAAAAAACACGTAGAGAACTTCTTTGCAACACTCAGTCCGTGTCCAATGGAATCATATTTGTTTTCCTTGCTGCTAGTCATTAATCTATTTGACTTTTAGTATGTGTTTTTCAATCTTATATTATAATTATAGACAGTCTTGAATGATTAGGTCATACTATAGCTGTATGTTGAAAGGACCTGTCTTGTATTTTTGCTTTAGGCACAAACTTGTCATGGGAACTAACTAACCGCCGCTCCCTGTTGAAGTGGCATTGATTTTTCTGCGGAGCTCAGTACTGGCAGGGCATCCAGAGTTATACAGACATGTGAAAAATCCTTTTAGCAACGATTAATATTAATGCTATTATGGATTATGAGCACTGTCTGAAACTCAGTTAAATGGGGACACATGGGTCTAGTCAGCGGGATGTGCTATGGGCTGTAAAATAACATTATTAACCTGTAATAAATTGAATCTGTTAACTGGAAGAAGCACCCCGAGTGTTATTACTATTATTAGATACTATTATTAGACTTTTTAAAACTAGTCACATTACAAGTAAAAGAAATTCTGAAAACAGTAGAAGTATTTAGTGTGTTAAAAGCCTATCTACAGCCACTAGACACGAAAAATAATTTACCTATGAGTACAAATAAGACAACCCAATCCATCTGTGTATCATTCGTTGATTCGTTTTTCAAAATAAAACAAAAAATAAGGAAACGAAAAACTATTTTCTTCATTATTTGTCTCCAAAACCAAAATGTAAAAAAAAATTATGATTTGTTTTTTCAGTTTTTGATTTTGTGTTTAAATGAAAAATGGAAAAACCGGATAACAGACATTTCCTGTTTCTGACACTCCTGGTTCAGTCCTGGTTTAGTCCTGGTTCAGTTCTGGTTTAGTCCTGGTTTAGTTCTGGTTTAGGACTCAGACCGGGACCGGACCAGGACACCACGACTGAGACCGGGACCAGACCGGGACCAGACCGAGAGCAGACCGGGACTGAGACCAACCGGTATAGAC